TATCAATATCAGGATTTCCGCTTGTCCAATTACAAAACTCATTTTGTAATTTGGTAATACTGAGCATAAGTGCGTAGATTGATGTTTAAAGTTATTTGGTTTTGAATTAATGAGATTTTTGTATGTTATTTGTTAGCGGGATTTCTTATTGATAAAATGTTTCTGATTCTGAATACTTACTCACTAACGTATGTGCATTATTAGATTGTTATTATTGTTTAAAAAAATTCTGATTGATAATATCTAATTCTGAATACTTACTAACTAATGTATATGTATTATATAAAGTTTTCATTTATTTTTGAAATAATGAAATTTCTGATTATAATTCAAAATACTTACGAACTAGTATATGTGTATGAGTTATTTATTTTTTGAATCAATGAGAATTTTAATTTTAAAAATATTTCTGGTTCAAAATACTTGCCCACTAGTATATTGTGAAATTATTTAAAATTATGCTATTTAATTTTTAAATTATTGCAGTTTTGCATGATTTTGTGAATTTGCAGGAAGAAATCGCTCGATTGTTAGGTGATTTATGATTTCTTAAAACTACACCAATATCGAGATATGAAGTTATCATATTGAAGAAATCACCTAACAATCGAGCAATTTATTTTTTGTCGATGATCTGCTTTCACAAAATTATGGAAACCGTAATAATGAGATTTTGAAATTTCTGATTATAATTACTTACAGACTAGCATGCATATATAGGTTAGTTATTCAGTTTTTGAATAATTAAGATTTCTAATTGTAAAAATATTCCTGATTATAAATACTTACAGTCTAGTATACATATGTGGTTATTTAAAGTTATGTGTTTAGTTTTGAATTAATAATATTTAAATATTTCCAATTATAAACACTTACCGACTAGTGTACGAACTAGTATATATGTATAAGTTATTTAAAGTTATATTATTTAGATTTGAATTAATAATAAAATTTCTAATTATAGAAGTATCTCTAATTTCAAATACTTACCCACTAGTAAATACGGTAAATTGGTTTTTAAAAGATATATTATTTAGTTTTTTAATTAATTATAAAATTAATTAATTTAAATACTTACAGACTAGTATATATATTTAAATTATTTAAAGATATTTATTTTTAAATTAATAAATTTCGAATTGTAAAAATATTTTAATTCTAAATACTTACTAACTAGTATAAGACTTGCCCACTAGCATACATGTATTAAGTTAAAAATTCTAATTAGTATAAATATCTTTAATTCAGAATACTTACCCTAGCATGTATATGAAAGTTATTTAAAACTTATTTAATTTTTAAATTAATAAAATTTTTAGTTATAAAAATAATTTAATTTAAAATACTTACATACTAATATATATATAGATTATTTAAAGGTTATTATTTATTTTTCAAATTATTAAGTTATTTTTAATTGTAAATTAGTGTTTAAATAATAAGATTTTTACTATATAATCGCAAAATAACGCCCACAGGCATTGTTTAGAATAATGACCCGAATTAAGCTTAATTCAAATCAAAATTTGAAATTACACCCGTGCGTTATTTTGTAACTATACGGTAATATAAATATTTTTTATTTATACTTATATACTAAGTAATATAACTAATATATAAGTTATTTAAATTATATTATTGTTTTAAATTAATTAATATGATTCTTATAAAAATATTATTAATTTAAATATTTACCCTCTAGTATATATATTAGTTATTTACAATATTATTAAATTAATAAAATCGCTCATTATAAAAATATTTTAAATACTTACAGACTAATATGTTTAAATTGTTTAAAATTTATTTTTAAATTAGCAGTTAGTTAAAAATTCTAATTATAAAATTTTTTAAATACTTACAGACTATATATATTTGCAAGTTAAATATAAATTTATATTTTTAAATAAAATTTTTAATTGTAAAAATACAGTTATCTTTTACTATAACTACTGTATTTATAAGTATTAATTTCCTATTTATTTATATACAGTATATAAATCCTGACATAGGTATATAAAATATTAACCAAACAATATAATTATTGTAATAGATAACTGTATTGCTAATTCTAAATATCTAAATATAATACTTACTAACTAATGTTGTATATAAATTATTTAATTTGTTTTAAATTAACAAAATTCCAATTATAAAATATTATAATTTTAAATACTTACTAACTAAAATATAAATACAGACATTAAAGTTGTTATTAAGTAACAAGATTTTAATTATTTCTGATTCTACTAGTACTTACACACTTTTACTATTATATATACGCAAAGTTATCACTTTTTATCTTAATAAAATTTCAACTACAATAATATTTTTAATTCTAGATATATACATACCCCCTAGTATGTGAATAAGTTATTAAAGTTAATTACTTAAGTTTAATTGCAAAAATGGCAAATTATAAATACTTACATACTAACAAATATATAAATCATTTAGATTTTTACTAATATTTCTAATTATAAAAAAGTTTTTTTTTGAAATACTTACTCTCTAGTACAAATGTATGAGTTATTTAAAATTATGTTATTTGTTTTTAAATTAATGAAATTTATGTTGTAAAAATGATTTGATCCAAATACTTACTCTCTAAAGTACACGTATGGGGTGATTTTAATGTTATTTAATTTTTAAATTAATGAGATTTCTGATTGTAAAATGGTTCCAATTCTGATCACTTACGGGCTAAATACATATAGGTTATTTGTTTTGAATTATCATAATGAGATTTCCGATTGTGAAATGTTTCCGGTTATAAAAAAGATTTTTATTTTGAATACTTACTTTCTATTACAGGTGTATGAGTTATTTAAAGTTATTTATTTTTTAAATTAATAAGATTTCTGATTGTAAAAATGGCTTTGGTTCCAAATACTTACACTCTAGCGTACGGATATGGGTGATTTAAAATTATTTAGTTTTTAAATTAATGAGATTTGATTGTAAAATGTTTCAATTTTGATTACTTACGGGCTAATATACACATAGGTTATTTGTTTTGAATTATCATAATGAGATTTCTGATTGTAAATGTTTACAATTCTGATTACTTACGGGCTTCTATATCCATATACACATAGGTTATTTGTTTTGAATTATCATAATGAGATTTCCGATTGTAAAAATATCTTTATTTCAAATACTTACAAATTACTAGAATATATACATTGGTAATTGTTATATTATTTAGTTTTTAAATTAACAATGTTTCTTATTGAAAATGTTTCTTACTTAGAATACTTACTCAATAATGTACGTGTGTGAGTTATTTAAAGTTATTAGTTTTTTTAAAGTTATTGAAATTTCAGATAGCAAAAATACTCCTGGTTCAGAATACTTGCATACTACGCGTAGTATAAAGTTATTGTAGTTATTGTTTTAAATTAAAAGATTTCTTATTGTACAAATATTTATAATTCAAAATACTTACTCACTAGCGTGCGCATATGAATTATTTAAAGTTATTATTATTAAATTAATGATTTCTCATTGTAAAATATTTATGATTCAGAAATGCTTACTGACTAGAGTGCGCATATGAATTATTTAAAATTTATTTGATTTGAATTAATGAGATTTCTGATTTAAAAAATTTCTAATTAAATGCTTACAGACTAGTGTAAGTATATAAATATAGTATTTATTAGTAAACCTAATTTTAAATAATGAAGCTGGATTTGTAAGTGTAAATTGTACTTACATTCCTTTAATTAATCTATGGGTCTCTGTTGCCCATGCATTCTTTGGTACAAATATTAATAATTTTTCTAAGTCAGCAATTGATTCATCATATTTTTTCAGTATATAATTAGTTTCTCCTCGATATCTTAGTGCAGCTATATTATTTGGTTCAATTTTTAAAACTTTAGTTAAATCTTTAAGCGCTTCTTCGTATTTGTTCATAATAAAATATATTTTTGCTCGACAGCTTAATTCAAATATATTGTTGGGTTTGTTTTTCAATGATTCGGTTAGCTTATTGATTAAATCAATAAGTGATACATCATATTTGCCTATAATAAAATAAAAATTTTCTTGATATTTTAGTGAAAGTGCATTATTTAGTTCAATCCAGTTTATCTGTACATTACCAATATCTTCATTATTCATTACTATTTAGTTATATTAATGAAATAGGTAAATAAATGTTAAAGAAGCTTAAGCACATATTAACCGTGTAGTATTAAATAAATTTACCTGAATATTCAAACTTTTCATGACCAAAGTTTGCTTTTACAGACCCGTCTTGTGATCTAAGTCCAACACAAGGATATAAATCTTCCAATTTATCAGGCAAATAGCAAGCAATCCCTTAAAATTTATTATAAAAAATTAAAATTCTTTTAATTAAAATTATTAAAATTTTTATTGTTAGAAAAAATTACCTAAATTTACACCATTTTTAGTATAATATACTATTTTACTTGTGAAATTTAAATAGCATCCAATGGTATTACCAGTAGTATATGATGAGCCATACGGTTCGCCACTTCCATTGCAAAAAATTAATCCATCATCACCATGATAACCTAAGTATATTATATATTATGGCATAAGGCGTTAAGTTAAACCTATAATCATTATTATTATGAAATAAAAATTTTGTATTACCAGGCATAGGCAAGATATCTAAATTATCAGAATTTGTACTTCGTTTTGAGCAAAATCCGACACCAATCATTCTTTTAAGAGATTTGAACCATAGAAATTATAAGTAAATTATAAGAGTAATAATAATTTTCTTAACATAATTAATTAATAAATTTACCCATTATTTCCACTGTTTATAATTTTAACTTCAAAGTAAAACAATATACATTGTAGAGGAATAGGATTATTTGCTCGAATTATAGCGGAAACTTTATAATAATCAGGTAAGTATACGGTTTAATATCAAGGGATTATAAATTTATCCATTTATAACTGATAATCTTTCGTATCATTTTATTTTTTGGGTCGATGCATTTTATTTCCCGGTAGAGTTAATTGCTTAAATCATCAAAAATAAATAATTGTGCCTTACCTATGTATTTCACGCCAAGTCTATCCGAGTCTATGCTCAAAAACGGTGATTTATTTTCAACATTCCATGCATTTGGCAATGGTTCTTCCATTATATCAAAGGATTTTTTATGCGTTTTTTTTTCTACGGTGCCTAATAACTTTTAAAAATTTTTACATCGTAGTACACATTATAGTATTTGTTACACGAGAATTACCGTATGACTAGAAAACTTTAGTTTTTGGAACACTAATTAACTAATTATAGATGGTTTTTCGTGTATATAATCTATTTGAATGGGCCATTCCAATTTAATAGCAGCTAGATAATTAATTTGATAATTGCATGAAAGAGAAAAATCATAATCTAATTCCTCGCAGGTATTAATTTCAAATTCGAGATCCAGATAGTTTAACGTTAATAATTTTGCAAATGCAAAGTAATTAAAGTCAGTCGAATTTTTCTTATTATATTGTATACCCTTTGCCATACCTTAGAGGAATTCAGGAATTCCCAATTTACGTATATGGTTACTAAGAAAGTGGATACTATGGTTTGGTGAGCATGACGGAAGTTCAATTTTATTGGCTACACGTGTGTAAATCGCAGATCCTAAATTGTTAAATATGATTGGCTAA